TGGAGGAAGATTTGAATTAAACTCTAAATATTATTTCTACGTCTTTCAGCTCAGTGTTTTGGTTTTCCGACTGACAGCCAGTTTTCAGTGTTTTGGGTGAAAACAGTAGAGCAGCCAAACAGCTCCTTCTGAACACAAATCTGCAGATTAAGCAAGCAACTATTTGGTGAAGTATTTTGCTTTCTCTTGGAAATCCATCCATCCATGCTCATCTGTGTTTGCAGCTCATTTTAAGTCAAACTTCAAAACAGGGAAGGCAGGATAGTTTGGGATACATTGTAACAAATTCATATATATACACACACAGGCAGATTCTTCTATATACTTCTTTGTAGAAATATACATCTATGTGTACATATGCACATGCATATACAAAAGTGTACACATACACACACATTCACACACAAGCACACATACGTGAACATAAAATACATGTATACATATACACATGCATACATCATCCAATGAGATAAAAGATGAGAATAGCTAAAACAGAATAAATGAGGTGTCAAAGAGATCCAAAAGCCTTTGGAAATAGATAGGTCTTTAAATTTGATTTGAAGATTTCCAAAGAGGAAGAGGATTTTTTAAAAGAGGAAAGACTGTTTCAGAGTCTAGGAGCGGCAATGGAGAAAGCCTTGTCACCTCTAGATTTTAACTGGGAGCGTGGAACCAGTAAAAACATCTGACTGGAAGAGCGCAGAGTTTGAGTGGGTAGGTGCAGGCTAAGGAGATCAGAAATGTAACCTGGAGCCAAGCTTGGTGGGCTTTAAAAACAAATAATAAAACCTTTAAATCAACTCTATATTTAACTGGCAGCCAATGTAAAGATGCGAGTATCAGAGTAATACTCTCTCTCTTTCTGGTACCCCTCAGGAGCTTTGTGGCTGCATTTTGAACAAGTTGCAGGCGGGACAGGCTTGAGTGACAGATGCCTAAATAGAGAGAGTTACAGTAGTCAAGACGTGATGATATGAAGGCATGGATAACGGTTTCCAGATCTTTAGATGGCAAGATATTTTTGAGTTTAGAAATGCTCCTGAGTTGGAAAAAACTGCCACAAACAACTGAGTTTATTTGTTTGTCCAGCTTGAGGGTAGAATCGAAAATGAAACCAAGATCTTTTCAATGGGGATGTACATTAGCTGATAGTGGGCCCAAGTCATTTCTTATGCGACTAACAGAGTCTTG